AGCGTTCTCTTAGCATATATCTTGGATCCTTTAGTGTACAGTTTAGCGTTCTCTTAGCGTATACCTTAGATCCTTGTATAGTTTATTTTTATACTTTATATTTTTGCTATTTGAGTGTAACTAGGATCCTGAATGCACAATTTCGTTCCTCTTCATGTACCACATGTGTTGCGAATGACAATCAAGAAACTTGAACTTGAGAATAGTTTGTTCCTGATAATCCAAGAGGAGTCGAGACCATAATGGAGTTCTGCTGTAAAACAACTGGAATCTCAAATATTTTTATTGTTCTCACAAATTCGGTTTTCATCACCGTATATTTCAAGGTATACAGTTATTTACAAAGAATTCTGTGGTTATTTGCAAGTGCCTTAGCCGTAGCACTTCCTACAAGAATGTCACAAAATGTACAATTTCTGCCACAACAGCTGTGTAACATGAAACTGATGGTGTGACGCAAGGCTGGCAAAGTCTTACAAAAAGCACGTAAAGCGCCATTTTTGATGATCTTAGATCACAAATCTCTAAACGACTTTTCTGAAAAGAAAAAGTTGTGCTCAAATTAAAAAAAAAAAACATTAGCGTTTGCATTTTTTTTTTTAAAAGGCCTATTTATTGACCCAAATTCTAATATCTAAAAAGGTATTTCTTAGTTATTGCCAAGGTTTTTTTTTCTTTTTACAACCGTTAGCAAATTTGCAACATATTTCTACTGTTAGAGAATTTTTACTGTCATACGTTTGTCACAGGTAGGTGCCGGGGGGAGGGGAGTGTTCATTGTTGATGTAGAACAGGGCTATTCAATTAAATTGCTCAGGGGGGCACAGTTACTGAAAGCCTAGAGTTCAGGGGCCAGACATCCAGCAGTTATTGTCCTTAATTATGTTTGTTTTATGGTTTAAAATATAGTTTTATTTAAAAAAGAACCCATTGGTGGGCTGAACTGAGCTCACCTGTGGGCCTGACTTGGCCCATGGGCCAGTAGTTGAATAGCCCTGATGTAAAATATTGAAAATTTTATGAAAGGGTTAAAAAAAAAAATAATAATTCAACAATAATAAATAAATAAAATTAAGTTTTAATGTCATTATAACACAGAAGTAGAATAAAACTGCAGGCGCTACTCTTAAATTTTTTTTTTTAAATGTAGTACACAGACAAAAACCTGGAAAATTAAAACAATTACAAACATTTTGTTTGTGTGATGTCACCAAAAAGTCTAAACAATTCACATCTGCTCGTTTTGCATTTATCTCTTTGATTATCTTTTCTGGAATCTCACCAGAGTCGTAAAGTAAAATGCAAATCATTAATTATCATCTTATTTTATTTGTATTATTTTGTTAATGTTGAAGCTTCGTCAAAAATCAGCCCAATGCGACGCCATTACACACAAGCTGTATAAATGTTACATATATACACAACACTGAGGCCACATGTTTGTGTTTACAGAAATCTGATTGAAAATGCTGTAAAAACTGGAAGTAAACCAGCACAATAAAAAAAAGTTTTGATGCCGTTTGACTCGACGTTGAAGTGTGAGCTACAAAAGCCTCTTGGTTTTCCAGATTTGTCTCATGTAAGACGGTGAGTTTATAAAACGTGACAACTGAACATTCTGTCCTTAGTGCTGACGCGTTTGAAACAGTCAAAAAAAAAAAAGAGCTAGATTTAGGATTTGAGCGACTGTGACAACAGCTAAACTGTGATGGTTAGACAGCAGAGTTCAACTGGCTGCTCTGTGGGCCGTTTCTAGCCGGCTGTGGTTAAAACTCGACTAGTTTTCTGTTCCCAAACCGTAAACAAAGCAGGATGATACAGAATGTCTTAGTATGCAGATTCACAGACGAGCACATAGAAGGGAAGAAGAAGAAAAGACTAAAAACCATGAAGTATGGGCAACAAACTGGGCAGGAACGGGATAAAATATGTGGAGAATGTGAATAGAAAAAATAAGTATAGAGCCAGTTGGACTCTCTGAGAGGCAGAAACAGAAATAGAGTAGTCAATCGCTATTTCGCGGTTCGACGTTCGCGGACTCGCTCTTTTGCGTTTTTTCAACGATTGTAAACTTTGTTACTCACGTGATTGGGATAGGAGATAAAAAGTTAACGGAAGGAAAAAAAAAAAAACTTCAGACAGGCGCCACCACTTTGTAATTTTCTTTCAATGAGCCTACACTGTATCGCCAGTCAAAAGAACTACACTACCCACAAGCCAACAGTGCATCCGACCGCTGCATTCTTGTAGTTTTCTTTCAATAAGCCTGTCTCTGTGTCCCTGTGATGGACTGGAGACCTGTCCAGGGTGTCCCCTGTCTCTAGCACAGTGATAGCTGGATATGGGCACCAGTGACCTCTGTGACACGAAAAGGAAGAAGGGGGTAAAGATTAGGCCCGTCACAAAAATAAATTTTACTGGGCGATTAATTGTCTCAAATTATTGCGATAAACGATAAAATTGTTTGAAATTTAACAATAATTAATAATTGTCAAATTTTTATAAGAAATGTTGATTTGTTTTGTGTGTAGTACCTTTTTTGACCACCGGATGGCAGTATAAAACGGTTTGAACCGAAGGACGGATAGTTGAGCAGCGTGTCTCTAAGAAAAATGGGAGGGAGGCCCCTTGACGTGACAAGGATTGACATGGTGGACCCTCGGTGTGAAAAATGCTATTCTAAAGAGCTCAAATCACACAAAGCTTTTTATAAAAAAAAAATTTGTTTAAATCAGTAAAGTTCTCAGCTTCTTTTTGCAGAGAAAAACAACTTTTTAGACGAAGGCACAGGTTTCAACTGTGAATTTTGGAGCTTTGACAAGACAGTCCCTGCAGTCCTATCAGCACTAAAACAAAGATCCTCGAGTATACGTTTAGTTTTAAATTAAGGTCTTTTACTTGTGTATGGGCTACAAACCAACCCTGATGTAAACATCTGCTGAGTTTTGTATCGAACGACTCGATTTCCTACATCTTAAAACACCGGCACAATTCTGCCAAGAAATGATGTGAAATCATCTGGCTAAATCGGAGAGAAATCATCTGGCTAAATCGGAGAGAAATCATCTGGCTATATCGGACCAAATTCAAACTCTGGTCCGGTTCAAATGTCACTGATTACTTAAAGGAGATCACTTTTTTTTTCTTGTTGCCTTCCTGGTTTAACCTGTTATCTGTTTATGCAGACGAACAGTCGCAGACATGCCTGCAGACAGAGAGAGGAGACGCTGTGTAATCTGTGGAATGCAGCGGGACGACACGGAAGGCAGCGAGTTTGTGTTTATGAGTAAGCAGGGCAGGTAAATGAGCTGCCGTCACCCCCCCCCCCCCCCCCCGTACCTCCACCACACACGCTGCTTTCATTCACACGAAAAGGAACAATGAACACATGCATCAGTGCTGTTTGACAGCTTGCCAGTTCTTTAAAAGCACAGGGGAAGAGCAACGATGCAAACTGAATACACCTTTAGGCACTCACTTTATGGTACGGGATTATAATCTACACCAGCACTGATTTAGAAACATGCATTATTATTATTAGTAGGGATGCACAATATTATCGGCATGGTATCGGTAGATATTAGCGTTAAAGTTAAATATCAAACATCGGCCATCCCATCAAAGTAAAGCACCGATTTAAAAGGCGCCGTTTTTTATGCATATTATATATTTATATAGTGTTACATCATTTTCAGCCCCTTTTTGGCATCTGCATTTGGTAGCAGGCCAAACTAACAAAGACCATGCAGAATAATGAAGTATTTTAATTCCACAGCAGAGAAAGCCATGTAGTCTCTAAGTATGTCTAAGGCAAAAAATATCGGTATTGGTATCGGCAATCGGCCAAATGAGTGTTAACATATCGGCATATCGGCCAAATATCCAATATTGTGCATCTCTAATTATTAGTGTACAGAGTCAAAAACAACTAGTCAACACTACTGTGCAATAAATCTAATTTGGAAGAATTAATTATTGGATGACAAGAGTCTGAGGATAAAAGTATCTGGAATTGTAGTCATGATGCTAGTGTTGAAGGATACATTAGTCCCTCACTTATCGTGGGGGTTACATTCCAGACACCCCCGTGATAGGTGAAAATCCGCAAAGTAGGGACGTTATATTTATTTTAGTATTTAGATATATTTTAAGGCTTTATAAACCCTTCCCACACTCTTGCAATGTTCTAAACTCTCTATAAGCGCTCTAAAAGAGCACAGTGAAAGAGAGCAGACAGACTGATGCTACGGTTACTGAGCCAATCAGCGCCCGGGGGCGGACTGACCATCGGGAGCACCAGTGAAATGTCCCGGCTCGATTCGGGTCGGCTCATGGCTCGGCTCAGGAAGCGCTTGATTATTTTAAATAAACGATCCATGCCGTTCACTCTGGTATCTGCACCAATACCAAAAGTCATAGCAGGATGGTCCTGAAAGAGCTGAACGTTTTACGATTTGTTGAAATGGCACGAAAATTTAGGAACGAGAAAGATGCCGAAAAACGTACGGAAGAAAAATGGATCACAATAGTATGAATGCTTCATAAACATTCACACTATTATTGAACCAAGAGGTCAAAGGATGGATTATTTGTTCATTAACACCATCGTCAAATGGTAAGTACCCCTGCGCCAACAGCTTTACTTTAACAATTCAAAAGCAATGCCTTATTGCATTATTTGATTTTTAGTATATGTATTTTTAATTATTTTTGTCTATTTAAGGCCTTTCATCGACCATTGTTGGCTTTTCTTTCTTTAAAGAAGTGGTTCCCAATTATACTCCTTGAGGAACACCATCCTTTACGTTTTAGTTGTTTTCCTATGTGAATGAATATGTGATTAACAGGCATCTGCAAAACTTGAGGCAATAATTAAATCACTGAATCAGGTGTGTTGGAGTGGGGGAAACAATAAAACCATGCAGGGTGGTGTTCCTCAAGGACCAGTGTTGGGAACCACTGCTTTAAAGGAAGGATCTGGTCTATATGTAAACAACTCCTGGGTGTACGTACTTATAGGCTGTGCAGTGGTGGGGCTTGGCGACAGGAAGTCGTCGGTGAAGTTGACATTGCACATGTCGCTGCCACAGCAGCAGAAGTGGAACGTTCCATTCTGGACCTGCGGGGGCAGGTTGGTCACCACGCAGCGGTCATCTCGGCAGGCCTGATTATCGCCCAGGTGACTCCAGCAACCTGATACAGGAAAATAAGAGACTTTTCTGACTGGTAAACTTTAACGAGCTGTGTACTTTTCATTGAAAGCAGTACGAGTGGGAACACTCGACCCTGAAAACTTAACGAAGAAGCCTTGATGTAGATTATTAAATAGCTGGGCTGATTTGTCTTTTATATTATTAAAATGTGTATAACAGAGTTTATCCTTCTACGTATTTTTTCTTCACTCACCTTGCCATTTCATACAATCTTAAATTTAAATCAAAAACAACTCAAAAGGCTTTGTGTACAAGAAAAGTTTGATCTCCAAGCTCACAATTTCATTTACCCTTATTATACATAAAACATTATCCACCGAATTACAGTGAAAAGCTTCAAAAACCATCTTTTCTCTACGTACGGTATTGCTTTTGTATGTTTTATTCAAATACATTTAATGAAAACAGTCAGGAACTGTAAAGTCTCACTGCGTAAAGCTAAAAGACTTAAAAGTAAAAGAGATGCCTAATAATTTTCTGGGAATCAATAGTCTTTACAATTTTTAAAGGACTGTTTTGAGATTTAGTTTGACTAAAACCTGGACTACTTCTTGCATTTTAAAATAAATGTATTATTTGTTTGCACTTTAAGCGATCGTGACGAGTAAAAGACCTTGTTTGACGAGCCGCACTTCGCTCGGAGGACTTTTCTCCCACAGGCCGAAACAATGGTTGCCCTTGGCACATCGGATGGTGGTGTTCTCTGGGGAGACCCGGCCCTCGCCCCCAGCTACTCGCTCCACCTCCCGGTGCTGCTGGTCTGAGAAGGCACATTCCCTTTCTTCACCTTGTGCCGCTGCAATGAGAGAGAGAGAAATAACAATTTTTTTTAAAAATGTATTTAACTGCATCAAGTCACGTCACTTCGAAACAGTTTTGTCTCCTTTAGGGTGAAAAATGTCAAAATGAAAATAAATGCTGCGTTACATTTTGAACAGTATATACTCCACCACAAAACACAGATTTACATTTTAGTTTGCTACTTTAATAGGGGAAAAAATTATATTTGTGACTTCTGGCCAAGGATAGAAAGTATTTAAATGGTAAACTGTGGGAGCAATGCACAGATGTTTATACTTTTACCAAAATAGGACTTTAATCTTTCTGGATTAAAATTAAAACCAAAGAATTGTTGTTTTATTGAACTACAGTCAAAGATCAGAACACCGGCTACTGATTAACCAACCATGGAAGATGACAGTTAGCATGCTATATGACAATGATTATACTAGTTTACTGTAAATACATTTACTGTTGACTGTAAATATATAGGCAGTTGGTAGAGCTGTTGCCTCTTAGCGAAACGAGAAGGATCAAATCCCGGCCATGGGGACCTTTCTGGGTGGAGTTTGCATGTTCTCTCCGTGCATTCGTGGGTTTTCTCCAGGTACTCCGGTTTCCTCCCACAGACCAACAACATACACGTTAGGCTGATTTGTAACTAAGCTGTCCCTATGTGTGAGTGAGAGAGTGAATGATTGTTAAGTCTCTATACAATTCAATTCAAAAATACTTTATTAATCTCAGAGGGAAATTAAATGTTGTAGTAACTCGTTATCCTCGTTTCTTTAAGAGATGTTATAGATACTGATGGCTGTAGGCAGGAAGGATTTCTTGTAAAAGGTCCGTCCCACAACAGATCCAAAGAAACTGGTCGCAGATGCCATCCAATTCGTCCACCTGGACTCGGCTGGCCTCTCTGTTCCCCCAGGCTGCAGGACCACCCGAATGCCGAGTTGAACTCCCCAAACAATGGTCAGTCCTCCCAGCAGCCTGCCGAGCTCCTCGTCACTGCGGACAACTGGCTGCAGGTGTTAGGGGACGATCTCTGTCCCCTTGCTGTCACAAGCCATGTTTCCTGCCAGTCCCAGGATTTCCTTAGGATCTCAGTGGTCAGGCCCTCGAGCACAGTCGGAAGGTAGATGGAAATGAGTCCATGGAGCCTCCTTTTCAACTCATTTGAGATATGAGACTGTAGTTGAGATATTATTTGAGCTTTCGAGATGTTATTCAGCTGCTCCCGGTTGTTTAAAAAAAAAGGAAAAAAAGAAGCTTGTTACCAGTTACGCATCATAACAAATGTCCAAAAGTTAAAAAGTGTCAGTAAAAACCATTCCAGCTGCACAGCATCCAATACCAGAGGAAACAAACATCTAAAAAAAGTGATTTACATTCAGAGAAAGAGGAATTAAAGTTCCCAAAAGCAAAATCTCAGAATGAACGTAACTTAGCTACTCCAACATGCAGCCACCCCGAGCGGCGCAGTTCTAGAAACGTGTCTCAGTGATAGACTGGAGACTTGTCCAGGGTGTCCCCTGCCTCTCGCAAAGTGACTGCTGGATATGGGCACCGGTGACACCTCAACCAGAAAAGAAAAAAGCTGGTAAAGATAATGTCTAGATGGAACTACAGTATATAATGATAGTGAATGTTGATCCACAGCAACAAGTGTTTCTTTGACAAGTGATATTATTTGGTCACTAAAAAGCTGCAACTATAATCTTATTTATTGCTGCTTTCTTGGAAAACACCTAGTTTACAGTCACTAGATAATGTGGGAACATTACTAAGTACTTGAATGCAGCAGAAGTTAGTTGTAGCCAGGCAAATGAGAGGATTTTAACTTTTAGTAGCTAGGTTTCAGGCAAACCAGTCAAAGTAAACATTAGCTAGAGCGCTGCTAGCTAGACAAGATTAGGTTTAGAACTTAAAGGGATATCAGTCAATTTTGAAGTAATGCTTTGTCAAAAAAGTCATCAATACTTGTGCTAGGCTAGTGGCTAATGACTAGAAAGAAGAGTGCCAGTGTCTTTGTCATGCTTATTAAACAACTAAAAAATATGAATATTACATTAGCTAATATTAAACCTCTACATATTTGTATGACACTGTTGACTCAGGTGCCATTTTCTCAACCGAACAACGTCCGTGTTACGACACATACAGCTGTACATGATAGATGCCGATGGTGCAGAGGCTGCTGAATGCATCAATTCACCCGATTAGCATGTTTAGTCAGTCCAATTAGGTAATGCAGCTGTAGCATGAGTGATTGGTGGAAAAAGGGTGACACTTGCTCCTCTCTTTACTACACTTTATTGTTTATTATTTGTTAGTCAGGCGAATGAATCTCCTTAAAGGAGATGCATCTGTGTTGTGTGTCGTTTGTAACCGTAGTTTGAGCGTGCGCAGAGGGGTGGGGGATAGACGGAGCGCTACCTTCATAGTCATATTTTTTTAGCTAGCGCATCTGTAGTACGTGCCGCTAGCATAGTGCTACGTCAGTGCCGTATGTTGTCGAGGGGGCAGTCCGGACACTATGTTCTGTTGACAGGGCACTCTGCTTGTATAATGCAGTGTTTCCCCTACCATTACACAGGCGGGGTGCCCCATCCCGTCAACAGAACCGAGCACCCCACCTACCAAACTGAACTTGCCCCGCCTACCCCCACCCGGCACTGACATATCACTAAGCTAGTGGCACAAAATACAGGCTCCCCGCCCCCACTCAAAAACTGTTAGTACAAGCTGCGCTCAGACATGTCTCTGTCCTCCCATCAGCAAAAATCAAGGATGAGATGAGCACCCCCCCAATGGCAAGTTAACTAGGGGAAACACTGTAATGGTAGAGGAAACACTGCAATACATTCCTTAAAAGTTGACAGGACTCTCCCCTTGAAGGTTAACAAGGTTCAAAAGCAGGGGCTAGTTGCTAGCACTTAAACATGCTGAGCAAAGCAGCTGTTAGCTATGAGCTACTATTCAAAATCCAAGAAACAAGTGACCTAAAATTACTTTTATATGCAAACTATTACTGATTGTAAGGTAACACAAACTATTGACTCCACAATAGTTCTCAAACGTTAAACTCAGACATCATTTTAAGAAAAAGAACACTCAAATGAGATGTATTAACGCTCGCTAAAGAACGAGACTTTTAAAGTTTATGGAAATGTCTACCGTATTTTCCGGCCTATAAGTCAGACAGGCCCCCTCCCTCTCGGTTTTCAAGTCCCATTTAAAAACTCACTACTCTTCAGTAGCTTTCAACACCAGATGATCTGTGTTTTGAACCTGTACGCTCCACACTGGTTAGTCGTCATTACCTGCATCGTTTTTATGTCTATATTCTGATTTACTTCATTTTGTATTTTGCTTTGTGCGTTACCTGTTTTGTCTGTACAGCACTTTGGTTGGCCTTGTCACTGTTTTAAATGCTCTATAAATAAAGTGGTATGGGATGGTATAAGTTGCACCTTTTTGCCTAATTTGCATAACCTGCGACTTATACGCCGAATCGACTTATTTATGTTTTCCCCCATATTTATAAACCAATTTTTGGCTGAGAAATGACCGTTTTCATTCATTCTGACTGAAAATATTGAACACTACTATTTTCAGTCACTAGATGGCACTCGAGTAGTATGGCATGCTGCTGTGTCATGTAATACGTAAAAGTAGCTATTGATTACATAATCTGCTTGCCATAGCAGCCACCTTCGTTCAGCTCCGGGATCATGCATGGGAAAGCAGTCAAATCAGCTTCATTTCGCTGCGCCACCCAGGCGAAAAGCAGCTACTTTGACCACTGAAGTGCATTTATTAAGGAAAAGTTCAACTGAGACACACCTTTACAATAATTTCGAGCAAAGAAATAATTGTTATTAGGTGTTAAATCTTGTTAAATTCTTGTTTAAGTCCTCCCGTGTACGCTCCCGCGGCCGCCATTTGGCAGTCAATTGATTTTTGGCACAACACGTTTCTGGGTCGTCAGCAGTGACGCGTAACAAACGAAACGCGGTGACGCATAATAGATGCGACTAATACGGCGAAATGACTTATTTAGGTTTCTTCTCTTTTATTAGACCTATTTTGACTGATTCAACTTAGGGCGGTGCGACTTGTACGGCAGAAAATACGGTATGCATACTAAGAGTGCACTGGCAGCTCAGTTTTATTACCTTAAGCAAATTTATTTCACACATTTTACTCATCAATTTCACTCTACCACAGCTTTTTGTAGTAGACCCATTCGAGATGAGTTTTGTCACATTAATTTGAAGACAGGGACACATGCAGGCACTTATACTGTTACTGGGTCAATACAGGAAGAATTCACTGATGAAAAACAACTCCGTGCCCATTAAAACTGCTGCCTCCCACGAGCCAAAAGATCAATAGAAAAACCAATTTCAGCTCGAGCCTGAAGGACATATTGTCCACGCAGACCAGTGAAGGGACAGCAAACAGCTTCACTCTTGATGAATTCAACTCACGACGTGATTCAAGCCCTGGATCTGGTTGTGAAATGGGACCGCGTGCTTGCTGGGTTGCAGCAAACATCCGAGACATTGAGAGCCGGCGAGGAACAGTCTTGAGTGCCGGAGTGTGTGTTTGTACACAATCTGTGTCGTGGGTAATTTCAGAGAAGAGAAACACGACGTGCTCACTCCCATCTCCTCCCTTTTCCTCCAGGGGGGGCAGAGTGGGGGGGAGAGGTGGCTGTGCCCTGTCCAAGGTCAAGCTAGCCTGTGTAAGCAGGGGTGGGTGGTAGCCGTGTCAGGCACGGGGCCAGCTTTCCTCCTCTGTTCTTATGTGCAGATAAGGCTGTCAACTCCTGTGGGCCTCTGCTGCCCACAAGCTCAAGGCCTTTCACCACCTACTGTCTGAGCTGACTCTGCCTACAGGAAGGGGGGTGGGGCAGGGTGCGTATACATGAACGAGTACGAGTTCAAACCGATGGGTTAAACACATGGAGCTCTTTTATTTGGATGAGGAAACAAGAATCTGAATGAG